TTGGTTCGGGGGTGTGAGCTCCGGAGCTATGGATGGCACAAGTCCGCTAAGCCGCCTGCTGAAGTAGGGGTGCTCTTGCCTGATTATATTCACTCACTCTCTGGGATGAACCTTGGCAAAGACTACAATCTATCAGTTTCAATTGCGTTCTTTTCTCACTGCCCCGATCCCTCATCCCTCGATCAACACCTGCACGGTGGCAGCCAGCTTCTCTTGAAGCTTCTTGGCCGCGTCCAGCAGCAAATATCCAAAGGGCGCCACATGAGACTGCGGTGGACTCACAAGGGCAGCTCAATCCGCTGGTGATGATTTTCTTTTGGAAACCAAAGGTGGAGTGGAGGCAAGCTATGCAACCCTTATATAACTGAGATGATATGTTGTAGGTCAGCGCTACCTTGGGGTAAGGAATGTAAGGGGCAGCATCAAACCTTCAACCCAAGCCTTATGTTGGTCAGAACGAGTGCTGATGGATCGGCCAGTCCCAAAGTGTACTTGGTGGATCGGTCATGGACTGAGACTCAACATAAGGACTGAGACATCAATTTCATGCAATTTCTCAAAGTAAGTGGTCATTTGCTCCAGGAGGGTTCAGGGTTGGACTTACTTGCACATCACTTGATGTTCATTCAGAGATGCCTGGCCCATCCTGATTCACAGCAAACCCGACCAAAGCAAACCTATTAGTGAAATCGTCGTCATGGAGCTGTGGTTTTCCACGCTCATGGCCCCACTTTATGACCGTCACAGTCGCATGTGGTCCATGTGACTCGTTCGGCTTCCAGCACCGACTGCCCGCGACGGAATGGGTTGATGGGGGGAGTCCTACTTCGATGGACGGCCCGACCGAGCTTCAGACACCCGAAACGATCCGAGCTTCGGTCTACGGGGCCTATACTCGAAGCAACATGAAGTAAAACACCAAAACCTTCCGGATTCGACTCGACGAAGAAGCTGTGTTTCTGGGCCTTGGAGATCTCTTTGGTGGCAGGATCGTCCAAGGTGTTGTCGATGAGGTCGAAACATTCCATCAAATCCTGGCCAGGTCGATGAGGTCGATGTGTCTCCACATCCCCAAGAAATGGGCATGACTCGCGGAATGCACATTATGGCATTCTTGTTTGTGCCTTATTGATCCTTCTTGCAACCTAGTCAACTAGTCAGGATTCCAGAGGATGGTCAGCACATCTTGAGAGTGGATAGTACATCGAATTAGTGCATTAAGACCGCCATTGACACCCTCCAGAAAATGAAGCCTTAAACACATGTCAGAATTCAGAACTCAAAACTGCCTTTGACCCTACAAACGTCGGAAACGTGCGCGAACATGCATCTGCTGCAGCAAGAATCAAGCCCTTATATACATCTCCACAGTGAACAAATACAAAGTCTCGCAGCGGGAACCACAGCATCTTCACGTGTCGCTGTCCTGCAGCTTCTCCGTGAAAGTCTCTGGGTCATTCTCTTCCTTAGACAAGCACTGGAAGTCAGTTCGGGTCATCAACTCGCAGTCGCAATAAACAGCATGTGCATTCTCCATGAATTATAAACCGCACCGGAAAGCTTGGAAGCACAAACCCCAAGCTCCTGAGGATCTCACCCAAAGCCGTGCCTGCGCGAGATGGTGCATTTCTCTCGTTTGAAGAACAAACGTCCCACGAAATCAGAACCCCGAAGCGTCCCACGCGCCGGTCGACCGGAGTCGACCTACCGGCTCCACCGGCTCCACCCGTGGCTCCACCTGGAGCACGCGGCATTGTCGCAGGCGACTCTCCAGCGCCCCCGCGTCGTCGCCGGAGGCGTCCTGCGTCGACCCGACGTGATCGACCGGAGCGGTCGGCGTCCGTACTGCGCACCGCCGGACCATGTGTGGCTTCGATGGCCACCACGGAATTGTGGAATTTCTTCAAAAACTTGCATAAGTATACTTTGCCATTTCAGTGATCGACCTGGAGGCTCGGCCAGTTCGGTGAATTCCAACCTCCTCGGCCTGTCCAAGGATTCGTCACCAAGGCCTGTCCACAGCCCTTCGGTCCCACTTCCGTCCTGCAAATGTGCATAGAAGCCTCAAAACTGCCAAGCGCAGGGCAGCTGGAAGCAGGCATTACAGGTAGCCAGGGGCCAGGGGCCATGGATGATTGAAATCAAATGCATTGAACAACTCTTGGCCAATAGCGCTTGGAACATGAACGCTGCATCCTCACATCTCACCGTTGCTCTCGCTTCCAAAATCGGCCACCCAATGGCAGGAAAACATCCACGACTGACCTTCTACTGTTTCCCATGCGGAAAATCAACTGCAGGTGAACCCAAGGACTTAAAAAATCCCGCGGCCCCACACGGAAGAAAGAACATATGGCGCAAGTTGCACAAGGGCTCCAGGCCCCCCCTGTTGACCATCCCATCCTAGTCTGCAGCTCCAGTTGCTCCAGAAGTCAGGGCGCGAGGCGGTATGATCTGTGGCAAATTTGTAGAAATCCAGGAGCTGCCGCATGCAAGTCCTGGTGAGATAGTGAGACGGGTGGTCCAGTGGCCAGTCACCAGGTGTAAAGGGTCCTTTACATTGGATGTGTGCCCTGCACAGAAACCTGCAAGCCATGAGGGAACGAAATGAACATTACTAGAATGAATTGTCTAAAAGTCCAATCCATTTGGCGCGTCTACAGCTTCAAAAGAACTCCATTTGCTTCAAGCCAAGGCTTGAAGAAGAAAAAACGACGACTCATCCTGTGCCTCCCGGTGCGGCCTTCATAAAGGTCAGGCATGTCAGTGACCACTGCCTAGCTGCGCTGGGGACCCCCATGGGATCTCAGCCAAAGGCTGGAGACCTTCCAAAGCCCCCCCTGGGAGAAGGAACAATTGTGTTGAGCAATAGCAGCCATACAGGACTCGGACCAACCATCAAATAATTGTTTTTGTGAAACAAAAAGTGAAAACAAAGCAAAACAAAAGCACGTGAACATGCAAAAGCAGCGCAATTTGCTTAGTGTTTGCATTTGGTTTGCTTTTTCTCCCGGTACCACTTCCGCACTTATGATAACTTTTACCCGTCAGCAATATCTAATCTACGCTCCTACTAGGAAAAATGCAAAAACAAACAGCAAAAACAATGTGAAAATAAAGCAAAAAACATGTGAAAAGAAAACAACGCACACAAATGTGAAAAACAAGCAACAAACACGCACAGCTACATGTTTGTGATTTTTTGTTTGCCTACTTACCTTTTGTTTTTGCTTTAAACAAACCATTTTGGCTCCTTGTATCTATGGCTGGCGTGCCCGACTCAAACCCATTGGATGGTGATCTCCCTTAACCAAAATCACACACACAACAAAAAACAACAACACCATAAAACACCCATATTGGTCCTTTGGCATTGGCTGTGAGTGGAAACATGTGGAAACTCTCCAAGACAAAGAGCTGCTGCCAGGCCCTGCAAGTGACCAACAACCCATTTGCCATATCCCCTCAAACGACCACTCCAGATCTGGATGGATTTGATGTTCAAAAAAGTTAATGGTTCTTTTTCAATTTCAATCTGGCTGTGGAACCACTGGAGCTTGGTGTAATTAATTTGTTGCCTTACCTGCACATGTACCGTGAGACGCACATTTGGCACGGAGACAACCACTTTCCTTGCGTGGGAAGGGGTTGTTATGGGTTGCCACTTTCGAACGGGTCGGCACGGCTCAAGTTCCCAAGTCACAGTTGCATATCACAAAGTTACACTTAAATACTTGATCATTCTCACCCGTTTGACAGGTCGTTTGACACAAACGTCGACGACTGGATGTCTTTCTTCGTTCATGGGCACCCATGGACTTGGTTGGGTCGCCCGGTGGTCTACGGGTTTTGGCCCTTACGGGTTTTGCTCTGGCAACTCCCTGTTCGAATTTCTGCATATGTTGGATTCCAACATGTGACAACTACCTGCTGCTTCGAGAGGCCAAACGCACACGTGACAATCAAAATAGCAAGCTGATACACATCATGCTGTACAAATACAAATTGTATATATATATATAGAAATGAATGATCCATTTATCCAACCAACATATATCATCATATATCATGTCGCAGTGCATGTTAATGGTGAACCCCCCTCGACAACAAGGTCTGAAACGAGGCCCATCGGACGGAGCTCCGGAACGCGGTGGGAAGCCAGCGGTCACCCGCCTTGTCCAATGTCTACTTTTACGTTGGGTTCTTGTGGGTTTTTCACAAGGAAAGGCCCATAATGAAAAAAGATGCAGAAAAGAACCCAGAACAAACAGGTTGCAACCAAACCAGGCAAATTTATGCAGCGCAAATTCAGTGCATGGAGCCTACTGTAAGCCCGAAAACTCAACACAAGTTTGGTGATCATGTTGGGAAGGGAAGGCCGTGACAAGCTCTTGAGAAAGAGATCCTCGCCACAACTGTTGTCCACCATTCCTGTCACCTGAGCGCTCGCATGCCCATGCCTGCGTTACCATTCCAAGCACCTGGCGTTGTACGCGGCCAATCTGCTCCAGTTCCACCAATCGACGCCTCAGCAGTGGAATTCGCCAGCAAGGCCTTTGATTTGGCAAAGGGAAGGGCATGCCAACATTGACTGTCTTGACTGTTTCATGTCCTTTTCCCAGTGAATTTGTCTACATGCATATCACTGATCTGCGCACATTGCACGAGTCAAGTACATTAGAAACTGCAGGGATCTACAGGGCTGCAAGGCGAACCTTCGCATCTTCCCCCCCAAAACGACCGAGTTCGTCAGCTGTGGGCCTTCGGCTCGTCACTCCTTGGGCTTTCGAGGACATCTACCCCCGTTAAGATGAAGGGGGTTCGTTGAGGGTGAACAGTTTGTAAAGGGCCTCAACCTATCCCATTGTGTAGAATATATTTCAACAGGGATGGACATCTTGTAGAATCGGATGTTGCCGGTAGATCTCTAATTGGGGTCACCCATAAATCTTTGTTGTCCAAACTTCCCATTCCCACGTCCAAGCTTTTTGCTTCGCTTTGCTTCATGTTGGGTTCGTGCTCGCATGTCATGTGCAGGCACCCAGTCTGCAATCACCCCGCTGCAAACATCTGCAAAGCACACCAGTTGGAGATACACACACACAACTATCGAAGTTGCTGACTCCACTTGAGTGCCTGACATCACTTTGACAGCTGTTCATCCACGATTCTTGGTGTGGTCAGCACGTGCGGCCCTTTTTTGGCGGATGTGCAGAAGGTAGCTAGCAGCTAGGCTCACCACCATCCCATATTCCATAGGCCCTTGGAATGGCAAGCAGTTCAATGAAATCCACTGCTGGCAAGGGGAGGACGTGGAGATCTTCTACTATATACTGAAAACAGCTCCCGCAGTTCTGCGACAGTTTTGTATGAATCCATCACACTTTGCACACTTCGCATAAATCATCCGGTAACCACCGCCCAAAGCCCAAAGCACTTGCGACTGCTGACCTGCTAAGCATCTAAGCACTGCCAGTCCTTCTGTGAAGTCATTTGGATCGAAAAGGTCCGCAAACAATCAGGCACATGCATAACGATATATATATATATATATTAAAACAACTCGGTGGCCCCACAACAGTTGTAAGGGAAGGTATCTGTGCTCATCTGTGCTCAAAAACGCCTCTCGTTTCCGATTCGTGACGTGATGAGAAATCAAGCAGTCACATCAGAAAAGAAACAGCATGGAGGAATCGATGAATCAAGCTTGCCCAAGCACTGTCATCCATCCGTCGCCATATGACATGGACCCTCAGAATTGATCCGTGGAAGACCATCTTCCATGGAGTATCTGCAGGGGAGTATCTAGTTGACTTGGTTCGATGCTTGATACATAAAGCTACTAGCTTGCTGGCTGAGTTGCACAGCCACAGGGGCCGCTGCGGGGGACGGGACCATAGCCACCACAACCCCCACAGCCAGAGCCCGTGGGATTTCCAACAGCTTTTCCCTTTCCTCAGGCGGTGCACCTATGTGGATGGATCGATCATATAGTACCACACCACCTACCACACCCTGCATGACATAGCGTATTTCAGCTGGGTTCTGTGTTCCAAACCCCGGAGATGAGGCGTGAATGCCTTATGCATGCCTTGTGAACCGAGCATACCCCATGACAATGAAAGTTGCAAACTTCTTTCTTGTAGATAACATGCCGCAAAGCTCCACTTGAGATTTGCACAGATTATATATATACACAGTTTATGAAGTAGGATGTACAGTATTATGTAGGTGAATGACTGGCACTCCTCAGCGTAGTGGTTTGACCAAAGGTGGACAGGATGTTCACCGTCCATTGGTTTGGGCATTCCAACATGTGCGGGCGGGTGACTTGAAGCGAATGTCTCAACTTCTGTCAATGCTCCTTCCCGAATATGCAAGCTTTTTGAAGAGTCCCAGGGATTGCGATGAGGCAACAATGTATTGAAGGGTCCATATTGTTCTTGCTAGTGAAATGCTGCCCCATGCTGCCGCCCCAAACTATATCACAGTTCATGCGAGGCTCAAAAAGTGTGACCTTTCTCAAAGCAACTTTCTCAAGTCCGGCAGTTGGGGAATGTATGTGATGTGAAGCCATGCTTTGAAGTTCCTACCGTGGGGCTTGCCCCAACCGTCACTGAGAGAGGCATCCAGCATTGCTTCGCCCACCATCCCAGCTGCGCCAAGCCTCCTCCCTTGCCCATTCCCCACATGCCGCCCCAGCCAGTGATCGGCCCTTTGCCGCCTTTGGCAGCAGCCACATTCCTTGGGGCAGGAGGACAAGGCCAGGTTGGGACACCTAAGACGCCGTTTGGACGGTGAAACACCTAAAGACGCCGTTGGCAAACAAAGCACCAGTTTCGATGGACGGTGGGGATTGGAGAAAAACACCTTGCGGTTTCCGCCTGGTCACAAAAAAGAAACAGCCGCGCATTTGGGAAAAGATGCCGTAACGGTTCTTTTCTTCACAAAAGGTAATTATGTGTGCCGTTTCGATCATCCAGGTATACTGTAATGTACTCGGTCAGCGTTCTTGGAACTCGACCAGTCATGCTTCCCTGCAAGATCCATAACAAAAACCTTGCTACATTTACAATATGTTTCAATGGTAGGTGTTCTGCTTGTGGCAGAACAGAATTCATGTTCCTTCGGCATCTTCGGCACCTCACCAGCCAGTCCTTTGACTTGCCTTGCGCCAAGGTTCATGGGAGGCCGGCCTTTTCCTTTGGACACGCCTTTGCCTCAGTGGTGACGAAGTGCGCAATGGGGCTTGACTGACCCCCAAACATGGCCGTCTCCGATCAGGAGACAAGGCCGTCTACGGTATACAGCTATACGGCTATACGCCTTTAGCATCCTTTTGCAATCTTATGGGTGCAAACCAGCTGGTCCAGGTTCATCATCTACCTGGCTGGTTTCAAGAGACACTTCTCACCAAATCCTAATTACTCGTCCCTCCCCTGCCCATGCCTGAAAATCAGCCCAAGTCACGCACTGCTTGTTGACCAAATCTCCTTGGATTCGGACCCTCACCTCATCCGACTTCCTAACCGAAAACCCACTGTCCAAAGAAGAGCTGGAAGAAACATCACCGCTACTGTAACGCCCAAATGGGTCAAGGATGTCGAACATACGGGGCCATGAAAGCGGGCTGGCTCGAAACCTGTGTTAGATATGTTGGATGCCCAAACTGTTCTCCGTCTCTGATAGAATCAAATAGAAAAGCAAACTTCAAAGTCACAGTGCATCTGTGATTGCTCATGTCACCTCCATCTGGTTTGGGGTGACTAGGATATCTCAGGTGCAAGACCGCCAACTGAATGGTTCCACCTGCCAACGACCCTATGGACCCTTTCAGACATTTTCGGGCCTCTTCCTAAGAACTTTGCTTCCCCGCAGTCCTACCGGATACCCCGGAGTGCTTTTTCAGCGAGGATCAGCGAGGATCAAGACCACTCCATGCCACGACGCCACGAAACCGGAAAACACGTAGATTTCGACCATTTCGTCCAGGACCAGCAGTCCACCCAACCCCAAGACTTGATCAAAATGAACATATCTAGTCAAGTGAAAAACATCGACGCGTGCTTGCCGCCATGAGGCACTGAGTTTGGGCAGCCAGGCTCCTGGCTGCTAGGCAACCTGGACCTGAATTGGCCTCTGTTCAACCTCTCCCCTGCTTCACTGACCTCACAAGGTTTTTGCCCAGGCGATGTTCACCGTCCTCCAGGATGTCACCCTTCTCAAAGCACTCGAAAAAGGTCAGCAAAAACGCTGCATCATGCTGGTTGGGATCCTCAACTCGAGCTCCACCGTGGATGGAAGCACCCAATTTCGAGCTTCGAACCCTGGAAATTTGGTGTATCACCAGGGTGTATCACAAGGGATGCACAGAAGTCTACCAAGGTCATCTACGGCCTCTTAACAAGGGTTACTCTTGACATGCATAGGCGAAAGGACACTCACACTTCAAGCTGCCATAAGCACAGCTTGGTCGAAGCAAATGCTGGCAGGAACATCGTGGGATAGATAGAACTGTTGTTACTGTTCTTCCCTTACCTTCTGCCACAGCATTGCGAAGAAAAGCTCCTCAAAAGAAGAAGATACTGGGGAAGATGCAAACCTTGGCTTCTGGAAGCATCAAAGCGAGCTTTCAAGCCAAAGCATCAAGCTGCCCATTGGCGTGCACTTTGCCTTGATTCTGTGTCCAGGCCAGGCCGGACTTAAGAAAGCCGGTCAGCTACTCTAGCTAGGGAAGCAATATTATGCAGCAGTTCTGCTTTTCAGTAAGCGCCCACTCAACCAAATAAGAACCTCTCTAAACAGGACGATGTCGCTGACATCTATGACCCTTCAAACATCTTCAAACATTCCTGTATCCAAGGGCCGTTTAAGGTTCTTGCACCAAACATCACCATACCACCTCACGCGTCAACTGTTCACTCATCTCAGGTGGGACAAACTCCAGGGATTACGAGGATGGTCAGGGGTGTTGAGAGCAAGTTGATTAATTGGATCCCAGCAAGTTGATGAGTGTGAACTTCTCCCAAAGGTTGCCAGGTCCTTGGGAAAACACCCCTAACATCGTCTAAAGTGTAAAACCCTTCTCGTGCAGAAACGGCGAGAGAGTGAGTGGTGATGGTCCGGAAGGAAGGAAACATAGACATTGAACAAAGAAGTGGTGTTGGTGATGAGCCCCCAAGATTCCCCCCAGCGTAGGCAATATCAATCATCTTTCTGGTCCAACTCTTTGGGATCTGGCTAAGCTGGAACAGTCGGACATCATGCTGTGATTCATGACGTGACATGAGCATCCATGGTCTGATCTCAAAAGCCTCCTTCTCCACGGACAGAAACGGAATTCGATTCCCTCAGAAAATGGGTATGGAACTGGAAACTCTAGTTTGTGGTTTTGGGGATTCCATGGCACTTTCCATGGCACTTAATGACAAAACACCCCTGACCTCGGAACACCACGTGTAGAAACCCTGAAGCACGTCGGCCAAGCATGGCCAAGCCGCAAAAACTCCACCACAGGACTCGTCCATTCCTTGGATACCCGGGACCCAGTCCCAAGCCCCGACGGCACAGACTGGTGGTGTCAGGTCTTCGATGGCATTGGCATTTAAGATGTGCATATGGGGTCCATACTTGCACCACCGACCTTGGGGTAACAGGTCCCATCAAAACTTTGAAAAACGACACACATTGGTCCTTGCATGCCACCGGTTTTGTTGAGAACATGTAAGCACTATGTACCTATCTCCCCCTACGATGCGTAGGTATATATATTATACATTATTATACATGTGCACAGATATCCAGTCTCCAGGTGTGCATCTCTGTTGGGTGCAGTTGTGGGGCAACCAGCTCTAATCAGGAAGAGCATGCAGGCAAAACTCTAGTGTGTTGGAGGTATGCTAGGGATCACAAGCGCTAGTGAATCCTATTACAGTATTCGATTGTGAAGAGCTATTGGGACCCCATAGCAACCCCTCTGCGACCCTACGACATCGCAAACATGTTGTTCTGCTTGCTCCTGTTTGCCAACGGTCCCCTGTTTGGCATTCTGAAGGGCTCCACATGCGACGATTCCCAGGTGTGGGGTGAAGATGTCCCCAAGCAGCTGGATTCCCCTGTTTGAAAACTGACCACGGGGCCACCGTTGCACCAATGTCACGAAAAGCAAGTCGAGTTGTCGTTATAACTGATCAAGGAGGTGAGTGACCCAATGTAGACTCTTGATTGAAACTCCCTCAGATATGGATTGAACAAGCCTCTTCATTATATTCTATATCATTGCGGGTTGAAAAATAATCACGAGTCAGCCTACATTAAGCTCAAACAACACCAGCTGATATTGTGGGGACTCTATGTGGTTCGTTTCCCCCACACTCAACTTGTGCTCGGCGTCTCTTCGTCCTGGACTTTCCGCAATTTCTCCTTAGATCTGCCCATCAAGGGAGCACTATGGGGAACCTTTGGCTGTCTCTCACGGCATCTTCAAAACAGGATAAGCAGGGTCGAGACCCTCGATCGAACATGGCGCCCTGTTTCCTTCGTGGAAGCTGTGTTGCTTATACCCAGACCCTCCTGAGGCATCAATTCTTATTGTAGACTTTTGAGACACGTATTTCTGCCGTAACTAATTATTTTTGCTGCAGCTCAACCCCTTGAAAGCGAAAACGTCGTCAAAGAAGTGAAAATGCCGTCAAAGAAAACGAATCGCTGCTTTGTTTGATCTACAAACAAGGATGCTGCTTTGGTCCGTCCATACCCTATGTGCAGCTTGGCTGCTTGCAAAATTAACTTCTTTTTTCACTTGCAAGTAGAGTCCATCGTTTCCAAGGCTCATGGTAGCACTTCTCAAGATGCTACAGCCCCCGTCTAAGGTTTCGGTTGACATAACTGCCGGATTCGTTCACATTTTGATCACACAGTGGTTGAAAAGATCGGTTGTGACAAGTCTTCTGCCACCCTTGCGTGTCCTTCAGAGAGGGTACGGTACGGTGCAAAACGCCGTAAGTTGGGGAAGAACGCCGTAAGTCGTGTCAGACGCGAACATTTTCACATTGCTAGAAACTCTGCAAAGCCGCACAGGTCGAGTTACTCCCGAAAACCGACGACAACTGTTGTATCCACCTCACTGGTCATGGTATGTAAAGCACGCGTATATATATATATACACATATATATACTATAATTTGCTGATTTAACAAAATGCCTTTTGCATTCAAAGGCCTTTCAAAAAGAACAACTTACCATGTCTGCATTAAAAGGAAATGAGTCTTTAAGGTGCATTCAATGGACCAAAATTGCCGTCAACTGACTGAAACTGTCGCAGTTCGTCAAGAAACGTCGTTCGCATGAGATCACTATTGAAGAGCGCATGAGATCAACGGAAAAAGGCAACGTTAATGAAAACGACAATGATGTTTGCCAGGTCATAACGAAGTTCTAAGTATGTCGGCGGTTAGGTGGGCGTCAATTCTCCCAGCATCGCTCAATCTGATGATGTTTCACCTCCATCAAGAACACCCTTCCTCCTGGGCCTGAAAATGGTGGATACAATGGTGGGGCATCCACAGCCGCAGCTGGGATCTGCACCGAAGATCGTGATTCTTTGCCAATATGAAATGGACAAATCCCAATGGCAGCAAAACAGTGCATGCTGAAAGCGCATCCAAATCTCCGCCAGCTCCTTCTTGGGATCTGCAGGCTTCGGTGCTCGGGCTGCAGCAGCCTCCTGCCGGCGTTGGGCGGGTCCTTTGGAGAATGGTCCCCCGTTGGTGTTCGGACCGTCGGAGGAAAAAGGCGGTGAAGATGGTGAAAAATAAGCCTGGACAAAAATGCAGGAGCTCAGCACAAGCACTCACGCACAATGCACAAACACACAGGACATACCACCAAGCATTTGCAGCGCATGTTCAAGCGCCATCACCAAAAAAACCTCCAACCAGCGCGGTACATGCCTGTGTGTCAACTGCCCTCGTCGCGCCGCGCAATTGTGATCTTCGGTGCCTGAGCGGCCTTCTGTGCCTCTTCGGCCTTTTTCAGATCCACACGGCCCACAGGCAGGGGGGCCACCATGGTCATCGCCTGGTTTGGAAGAAACATAAGGGCGGAAGCATGCAATATGGAGAGGAGGTACGGTATATATTTAAGGACTATCTAACCACCTCTGAGGGCGCGTTTGAGAAAACAGCACACCAAATGTTCCTTTAGAAACATATTCTTAAGATTCCAGCTGTTTAAGTTTTGTTGCCGGAAACAGTAGGGCTGCTGCAAAGAATGCGTGTAAAACAATGGTAGTTTGGTAGGAAACTGCCAGAACTTGGCCAGTGGAGCAAAGAATTGCACTCAATCTGCTCGCAAGTGTCCAGGAGCCGATGTCTAAAACTGCCTGGAACTCGAGTATGAACAAAAGCACGCACACGAGCTTTCTGCAATTCACTTGCGATGCAGGACGAACTCTGAATCTAACAACGCGTGGGTGGAAGCTGTGGGTTCCCACAGCCCCCACAAAAGCCATGTCTGATCATTAACTAAAGCAACATTAAACATGTATAATATATATGACTTTCATACTTCAGACAGAGACCGCAAGTCGCTAATGTAGACTCTTGAGGACCATAAACCCCCCCTTTGAAGAGGATCTTCCCACATTATGTAACTCTATACATTATGTAACTCCCAGACGCTGTCTTAACTTCACTGTCTGCCCTTCGGCCTCCCGGACTCCAATGGACCCCAGCGCCATCGGCTCCGGTGCCCGCACCGGGGACGCCCGCGGGTTCAGTGGCCCCGGCCGGCGGGGCCCAGGGCCATAAGGCCCCATCCACATGGCGAGCTCAGGCTGGGCCGGATGCTACGAATCCTTGAGCCATGGCCTGATGAAGGACAGATCTAGATCTGCCAATGCACGATTTTGGGCAACCCATGCTTCTTAGCCACACATAGATGGACACTGTGCAAAATGATTGGCCACCAGGGGCACCCATGCTTTTCCACAAGGCTGGGAAGACCTTCCAATGCACCAACATCTAATTACAAATGTGTGGTCGCTCCTGAGTGCTTAAAAACCAAAGACTTGAACCAAAACCTCCCAACAGGCCCTTTCACGAAGAGGCCTTTGAACTGCGTGGGTCAGGTTTGCAATCATGCTCTCTGCAAGGATGTCACTTCATCTATGAGCGGCTGGATGCGGATGGCTATACATGGCAATACTAATTGTTCACACCCTGGTGGTGTGGCACGTTTTGGACCAACTCCCCATGTCTGCCAAGCCGCAGGGCTTGGATCACCCCATTGATGTCCCGGAGCCTCAAGCATTGCGGAGGGGAGATGCTTGAGTTATTCTTCTTGCGACGGGTTTTTTCAGGAGCACTCTTTCCGTCGGATCTAAAAGTCAACACATCTATGGGTCAACCAGCCTGGACCAATCAGAATGACTGCAATCACTGTAGCAGGCTGTTGATCTATTGGCTATCCAAAACATGATTGGCCGCGCAGCACCCCGTGTTGTTGGTAGGTGGTGTGACATCCGGACTGAGAGATATGCTGTTTTCCGGGTGGCCCTGGCTTCATTACTATCACAGCCATAGGCAGCCATAGCAACAGTCGACAGCTTCCGACCAATGCAAGCCAGCAAAAACCTCAGGGTCTCTGGTGAGCATGCTGTGGGGTGAGCTTGGGGTCTTTTTGAAGTCAACCTGTCCATGCCCAACTCCCGCACTCATGAACGCACTCATCTTGTCACTTGCGCAGGTCATCCCTTCAGAGCTGCTTCTGCTTCAGCGTGTCCAAGGCCTTCAAAGCTCCCACTGCGTCGAGGCTGGGGCAGGGGTGATGGTGGCGCACATGCAATGAAGTCACATCTGCGCAAGATCCATTTGCCGCAAATGGGTCCAATAAGCAACAGGGGCTGTCCATCCCTGAAAGGCAGTGCATGGTGTTCATCCTATTGCTGACATATCCCCACATTTACGCACACACCACATGTGAAACATAATTAACTAAGACTATAATATATATATATATATGTGTGTGTGTGTGTCACACTCTGTATCTAAGAGTTTTCCACTCAAATGTTTCCAGCAGGAGGCTCACGAGTCTGTTCCTGGCGTGAGCCAACGAAGCTCCAGGTTCAGACTAGGATATCGAAAGAGGACGCTCTTTCGACGTACCTGCCATCAACTGTTGCCCACGCTGTCCAATTTCATTTTTTTGCTTCCATGGTGGTTTGCATGCTACTTTCCCCCAAACCCCTCTTTTCCCACCGCTGACTTGCAGCCGATTTGCAGCCGCGCTGAGTGTCAGATCGTTTTCGCGTGCAATTGCAAACAATGTTAAACCATACTGTTCTCGCCGACCTTTTCACCTTGCGTTTCTCTCACCTTCTTCAACCCAATGTCGGAGTGTGTGTCTTTCATGTATGTTGCTTTTTACGTTCCATGCAAGCATCCCGCGTAGAATCGCTCCTGGTTTCGTTCAGTGGCTCGGGCAGTTGGCGCCTGTACCGCCGCCTCAGGTTTGGCCATGGTGAGCTCTGAGAGCTTTTGCATAAAGAGGCCACCATCGTGCAAGCGGGTATCCTGGGGAGAGCGATGAGTGGAAAAAGCGTGTATGTCCCAAAGGCAAACAGAGAGAGCTCAGGATGACCCCAACAAATGGGTCCCACAACCTTGAAGATCGAACTTCTCATGAAGACTTTTTACGAGGAAAATCATGAAGAGGAACTCAGGAAACGCTCTCTCCTACAGCACTGCCCCGAATTTCAAGAAATGCTCCAGACCACCCACATTCTGTCGGCAAGAGGGTCACAACTTCAAGCTCTGATTAGGACAACCCAAACATAACCAACCCGTCCATAAAGCCAGGCGAGTCCTACCACGGCCAGGCCGGCCTCAAAGGGTCCTACCACCCAGACTGTTGTGGGATGGACCCACATCCAGTCGAGTCACGGAGGGAACAGTTTTCACCACAGCGTTGCCAGTGGATCAAGCATCCCAGGTTTAAGGTCAAACAAGTTTGAAACCACAACCAACTGATCTTGACCCCAAGAGGTTACTTGGCAAACGCGGAGCCACCTCCCAAAACCTCCTTGGCAACCTGTTCCAAAACTAACACAACATGTGCTTTTTTTTTGGGCAACCTGCCTCGAAACCTCCAGGGGAACCTGCCCCAATTCATCTGGGTGAATTAAACTAATTTCATTAATTTCGTTCACCTCGTACCTCGTCTTAATTCAATGTTTTGAAATTATTCACCTCGCCTCGTTTAATTTGAATAATTTCAGTCACCTCGTCTGCCTGCCTGCCTGCCTGCCTGGCTCCTGGCAGGCTGGCTGGGTGGGCTGTCTGTCTCTCTGTCTGTCTATCTGTCTTCTTGACCCCCAACCAGCACACGCACCCCTTGGGAGGGACGTGGCTGATCGGGGTTTGCTTGTGCTTGGCTGGCACGAGTGAGCGGGTGGGTGGCTCCAAAGCCTTTAAAAAAAAGTGTTCTCTTGAGGGGGGGTGGTCTATGTTTAATTGAGCTGCAAGGCGCAGTTTCCTGACCTACTTGGGCTGGCTAGGGCATGAGACAACATCAACAAGGCTGCAAACCAATCCACAGTCGTGAAACCCTATTTGGCAAAAATAGGGTTGTTTCATGGGGCTTGCCTGTTTGAGCTGTTCAGCACAGTTTCCATGCCTAGTGGGGCTGGCTAGGGCCCGAGACAA